GCGTGCTTTGCCCTTGGTTCCTTCAGCTATGTGGTCTCAGGGGGCCCAGCTTGAGGATTTACTTGAATTGCCCCTGAGTGGCAAGTGTGACCCTGCGGCGGATTGTTGGGTAGGGCTGGTAGTGTGGGGGGTGTCAGTAGGTATTCGATAGGAGTGGTGCTGCAGGTAATCGGGGGCTGCTAATTCCTTGAGAGATTGGGTGGCCAACACGGCAGGGGGTGCCAAGGTCTGGGGATGCAGGGTACCAGGTGCATCAGCAGGGAACAGGTCAGTTACAACACTATCTTCATTTTATTATTATTTTGTCAATTAAGAATAATGCAAGTTGGAATTTTGGGGTCTCTTTTGGTTGGAGGAGAGATTGGGAGTGGAGGGAAGGTGGTGACATGTGGCAAAAGCCCCCACACCAGATGCACAGGCGCCTGGAATGTAGTTTCTAGACCTGGAGCAGAAGGTGGGAGTGGGTCAGTGGTCAACTTCTTGCCTTCCAGGAAGGAGAGCGGGGATCCAGTCTTGGCCAAGTGCCTCATGCACAGCCACAACTGGCTGTCAGCGGAGGTGTGTGTGTTGCTCTGATGCCACACAGGGCTCAGTGGACCTTCCCCATTGAGACAGACTAGGAAGAAAGGCCAGGTGACCTACTTCCAAAAGTCAGCTACTGAGATCCCCATGGATCACAGCTGCCTCTTGCCCTTGGGCATGGGGTCTTCGTGAGTTGAGGACCGACTGGGAGGATGGCAGCTGCTCACAAAGACAGCGTACCTGGATCCAGAATCACCCTCCTCACACAAAAATCTCTGCTGACACTACACGGCCTGGGCCATTAGCATACTATCAGGGAGGGGAGCAGACATCTGTGGAACACCCATGTGAGCCCAGCAGCTGCACTGTGAATTGCAGTCCTCACTAGACATCTGGAGTCTGAGTGTCACCATCTCCTGGAAGGACCCAAACCATCTAGCCAACCAAGCAAGCAACCAACTAACCAAACAAGCAACCCACTAACCAAGCAAGCAACTAACCAAGCAATCAATCAGCCACTGCCATGAAGTCAATTCCAACTCATAGCCACCCTATAGAACTGCTTCTGTGGAGGCTGGAAATCTTTATCAGAACATGAATCCCCATTTTCCTCCCTCAGAGTGACTCGTGGGCTTGAACTGGTGACTCTGTGGGTAGCAGTCCAATGCATAACCAACTATGCCACCATGGCTCCTGCTGAGGGAGGCAAGCTCTGAAAAGAGTCAATCCCACCAGGCCCCTTCCCTGGCTCATCAGCTGGAGTGTGCGGCACAAGTGCTGATGGTCTGATGGCTGCGCTGTCACTGCAATCTATGGAGTGTCTTCCGTGTGACACTGGAAGCTACATGTGTTGTCGTGTGCTGTGGCGTTGGGTCTGAGCGGAATAGCAGAATCTTTCCTAGAGGAGATAGCCAGCTCTGTTCTCCTGAACTACCTTCTTTTTGCTTAGCAGCAGACACTTAACATTGTAGTACCAGGACTTGCTCACTTCTCTCTCTCTTTTGCAGGAAGACATAAGAGATGTTGTGGTTTCAGTTCCACACCACTGCAAGAAAGCCAGAACATGATCAAACAAGTCACAACAATGCTTGGGTTTCCCAATGCATATAGTTTTGTCTCCACTCTGCTGTAGTCTATGAGGGGAGCCTTTATAGTGTAGTGGGTTATAAGTTGGGCTGCCAACTATAGGGTCAGCAGTTCAAAGTCACTAGCTGCTCCAAAGGAGAAAGATGAGACTTCTCCTACTCTTGTAGTTACAACCTCAGAAGCCCACAGGGGCAGTTCTCTCCTGCCTCGTAGGGGCACTATGAGCTGGTGTTGACTCAACGTCAGTGAGTTTTGTTTGTGTTTGTAGTCCATGAAGGAGGCTGATGGTGTAGTGCATGATCCATTGGGCTGCTAACCTCAAGGACAGCAGTTTGAACCCACCGGGCACTCCTCGGGGACAAGGTGAGGCCATCTCCCCCTGTAAAGATTTACAGCCTTGGAAACCAGAGGGAGCAGTTGCACTCTGTCTGATGGTGTTGCCACCAGTCAGTATTCACTCCACGGACTGGTAGTGGACGAAGTGTGCAATATTGCATGATGGAAATGCGTGAAACATGCTCAGAGGAAAATTCTGCCTACACCAACTTGGAAAATCCATTCAAAGAATAAGTAAAAGCATCTCAGGAGCCACACTCGGACAGCTGTGCAGGATGCCATCCTTAAAGATGTGGTCTTCCCACGTGACCTTGTGGGCAAGGGAATCTGGGTCAAGCTGGACAGCAGCAGGCTTGTCAAGGTTCGTTTGGACAGAGCCCAGCTGCACAACGCAGCACACAAGGTGGAAACCTCTGGAGTTTATATGAAGCTCACAGACAAGGATGCTCATTTTGAATCCCCAGAGTTTCAATTGTAAACAAAAACGACTGAATCAAATATTATCCCCCCACCCCACCAAAAAAAAAAAAGAAATAAAAAGTTTGAACTATTATGAGAATGACTGAATGTGACCCAGAGACATGCGCTGAGCACCTGCTATTGGAAAAACAGTGCCACAGCTTTGCGGGAGGCAGGCTTGCCCAGTTCTTCCGTTAGTGAAAGATGCAGTATCTACGAAGTGCAATAAAACGAGAAACCCAGGAAGGGAGGGAGAGAGAGAGAGGGAGAATTAAAGACAGGGACAGTAGCTGCAGTCAACCCCAGGCCTACATCTTCTTCTTATTTTTAAAAAATATCTTATTTTGTTTCTGAAGAAAGTTTACACAGCAAATTAAGTTCCCTGTTAGCAATGTCTATGCACACTGCTCAATAGCCTTGGCCACATCTCCACCGCCTGTCAGCGTTCTTCCTGTTCACCGCTGTAGGGGACTGCTGGCGCTGGGTTCCCTCACAGGTGATTTTTAAAAAGGAAGCCGTAGTTCTCATGGGTGACAGGTAGTGTTGATTTCATGAGCCAACCTGCTATTTAGCCCAAAGGCATCCCCCTGGGGTGGTTTCAGGTCAGAGGTTTAAGGGGATTGCACAGTGATAGTCTCGGGGTGCCTCTGAGCAAGAACAGACCTGAGGGCACCTGACAACACAGTCAGTAAACTGGCAAAACATTCGTAAGGCAGCAAATTCCCCAAGGTCATTGCCATCCAGGCGATTCTGACTCAGGGTGACCCCAGGGGTTAGAGGGCAGCACTGTGGCTATCATCTTTGTACAGAAAACTCTAGTCAGGCCTTTCATCCATGCTAATGCAATGGCTTTGAACTTCTTAACCTCCGGGTTAGCAGTTGAGCGCAAACCATGGCTTCTCAGCGGATGGGCTCTACATCAGCTTCCCCTGGGAAGTTGTGAACAGCGAACGGGGCTTCCAGACCCTGTTCCATCTCTCCAATCCAGCCAATGCTGGTGCCCCCTCAAGTTGGGGGACCCCTGCTCCCAGTGCACGCAGCTGTGTGAATACAGAGGGCACCTCCCCTGGGCAGAGACATGTCAGCGACATCTGAACGTTGGCTTCCCTACAGAACGTTGGAGAAACTAGTGTTGCATTCATCTAAAAAGGTGCGCTGGTGGTGCAGTAGATTAAGTGTTGGCTTGCTAACCGAAAAGTCAGTGGTTCAAAGTCACCTGCCGGCTCCTTGGGAGAAAGATGAGGCTCAGACTTACAGGGCTCAGAGAAGTCTGTCCTGTAAAAAGATGGACAGTCTCAGAAACTCTGAGGGGACACACCTTCACCAACCCCCAAACCAACCTGACGACCATGGCCGGCAGGGCCAGCGCTGCTCAGAGGATTGCTTAACCGGCATTCCCACTATGCTTCGGGTCACTTTTGTGTTTTTAACTTTTATTTAAAAAAAAAATTTTTTTTAACTTTTATTAAAATTGTGGAGTTAAAAAAACCCAACAACTGTGGCACACACAGCTTTAAAAGTGCGCTGTCCAAGGTCACGAAGACGGAGGAGGAGACAAGGGACTGAAAGCACTTAGATTGGGGTGGGAGTGGCTGTGTCAGCCCCTGCTCTGCTGCACCCTGGGAGCAGACAGCAGTCAAGACCCAATGTCCATCTGTAGACAACTGGACATCCCCTCACAGAGGGATCCACAGGGGAGAGACGTTGAGCCAGTCAGGGTGCAGTA